CTCGGGACCTTCTGCATCCTCCGTGTGCGCTCTGGCTACTTCCCCTCCACAGTTCACTGTGATACCATAGCTCCGAATCTCTTTCAATAAATCATCAATCTCGGGACTTTCTCCCTCCTCAATCTTTGGAATCACGAATCGCAGCCGAGGATGTTTATACCTGATCCGTATAGCATTAGCAGCTTTTCTCATATCGCACGCCAACTTGATCAGCTCGACCTCATCATCGTCGTCATCGTCGCTGTCGAAGTCGTCATTGTCGTAATTTCGTAAAACGGTTCTAGCCTCCCCATCACCCCCATCTTCCGAATCCGCCTCCCACCCTTTCTTGGCCATCTCGAATAGGAGACGAGTTTCGGAAATCGTGGAGACCTTCACCCATTCTTCACCATCATCTGCAACGATATCGACAAAGACACTCTTGCGCTTGTCCTGACTGGGCTTCTTCTTCGCCTGGCTCTCGTCAGGTCCCTTTCCGCCATGTTGCGCACCGCCATCCCAGTAGAACCGCTTCCCAAAAGCAACCAAACCCGTGCATGTATTCCTAGCAACGTTCCAAACCGCCTCGTAAAAAGGTAAATTCGACGACCGCAAGGCATGCAGAAGTCGTAGCTCGACCTCGTCATCAGGCGATCCTGTTTCTGCATCCGCCGTAGCAGACACCGCGTGCACCTTTTTGGAGAGTTTCTCGAGCATGCGCAATTCGGATAGAACGTTGGATCGGAGCGATCGGACCTCGACCAGTTGGGGATTGCGGAGGTTGCGGTTGAGCATAGACTGGAAGGTATCTATTTCGCCGAGGAGACGGCGGCATTTGTTCACGAGGGAGGTCGCGAGGACGCGGCTGTTTTCGGTGTCGGACTTATCTTGAACATCATCTTTGGCGGCATCTCCTGGATTGTCAAAGGCTTGACTACTTGGGTCATTGTTGTGCATGGCTGGCAGCCAGACGGTAAGGTAAGCGAAGATGAATCCAAGGTGGGATGCTATGACGGCTGCGGTAGGTAAAGTAGACACAAGGCGGAATTCCACTGCGTCTATTACATCTCTAGTGCAGATTTTTGGCTGGGTACTCGAACATGTCTCTTAACTTGTAGATAGCATATACACATAAATTCAATTAGTCCTTCACTGGAGTAGTAGGAACTTAGAGCCAATCTAAAAATACACCACCAATAGGTCAAACGCCATCAAATGCCTGCAAAGTTGAAACCAAACGGAAAGATCCTTAGAAGATCGATCGAACCTTCAACTTCCCGAGAATTGATATAAAGATGATTTGATGCCACTTCTGAACACAAGGATAGAGAATGCATAATGCATTCACACTTAATCTGATTTGAGATAAGACTTCGGCTCCTCCGAGATGAGCCAGTTAGTCCGATTTATGGGCAGTGAGCCTCTGTCGTTCGCTTGAGTTTCGTGGAGACTCGTCCTCGTCCTCAGACCATTTGTCACCATCCTCACCTACAGCGAAAATTGTCTCACCATCGAGAGAGTCTCGCTGGCGCGGAGCAGATGGAACAGGTTTAGGAGGTACCGGTGACAACTCACGGCGTGTTGCGGAAGCGGAATTTCCTTCCAGGCCTCCAAACGCTTCTTCGTCGTCCAGTCCACTATTGAAAGATCGAATCTCGAACCCGTCATCATCTTGTGCAAGCTAAAGTCGGTGTTAGTATGCATTCATTGGGCGCCATGGAAATTTTTTCCAAAACGTACCTCGTCACTCATTGCGAACCGCCTGTTGTTCGCAGTAGGCCGCCAAAGATAGGCAACGAACCCAATATCGAACAAGTACACAAGATTGAGCCAACCATCTAGCACAAACCATCTGGTCTTCCAATGCTCTGGTACAAAGTTTGCTTCGCTACGACCAGCAAAAGCAAACGAGTTGATGAAAAAGAAGCCAAAGATCACGATGATGCTGCCCAGAATACACCACCAGAGCTTCTTGTACATCATTGCTTTGACCTTCTGCTTTCGGTCGATCAGATCCTTCATGGTCGCGTTCAAGGAGTTCAGTGTCCACACATAGAACGCAGTCAGTGTACCAGCAAGTGGGAGCACGATGAGGAGGACCAGTGGTCCAGCGCTATCGGGTGTAATTGATAAACTTGCGACGGCATAGATGACGCCAAAAACGAAGTGGGTGATGGCCAGGACACGGACATAGATCATGGTCCGGCCCAAAGAGGGCTTGACAACGCCGTATCCCATGCAAACGATGAGCAAAAGGAAAAAGGAGAAAGAATTGCGTCCCGCATTCAGGACAGCGACGATTACCATCAGCACCTTTGCACCGAGATTCAAACCGTGCCGATTCTGGAAATCTGCTATTGGTCAGGGACTTGGATGCGAAATTGGACTCCAGCGGATGCGCGAAAGGTGAAATACCATAAAAGCCCCAGGTCATCAATTGCTCCACGATCAAAAAGACCAAAATAGCGGTGATGTAGTTTTGCACCGGAACTGCAATCATCAGTAATTGAACACCATCCAATTAAAGGTTTCTACTCACGAATGTCATGACGATTCTGAACGTATAGGAATGCCCAAAATCTGTGTTAAGCCCGTCAGTACCGCTACGACTTGGAAATGACCTTATGAATCGGAGACCTACACTCCAATGACCGCATAGACTATAGTCAAACCACCGTAGAACGGAAGTTTTGCAATTTGAGCAGCGGGAAGTTCACCGTATGAATTCCTGAACTCAACTGCCGCTTTGTAATCCTTCCCGGAATATCCATAGGTGCTGACGCAATAGAAACCGGTCTTCTTGATAGGGTAATTGATTGCAGACGGATTGTTCAGATGCACCGCCTGAGATATAATAGGGAATTTGGATGCATCGCTCGCGTTGGCGGCCAGAATGAAGGAACCTATTTGATCTTCTTCGCATAGTTTTGCCTCGACGCTAGCCTGGTCGCAAATAGTCTCTTTCGCCTATAAGGACATGTGTAAGCGCGGGAACTTCATCTGTGGCGACACTGGGAAGGCACACTTCAGGGTCATCAGATACGGATCTCCCGATCAGATTCTCGTCGCTCCATTCGAATATCACGACACTGACAAGAGGATCGCTATCGCCAGCTTCGTTATCTTTGACAAATACGGTCTCAATATACGGATCGATGCTTCCACCCCACGCCTTGCGACTGTACATCCCTGAACATCGCTGTCGGTGGGCTTCGTCTTGTGTCTGGGCAAAGTGATTATGTTAGTTATTGGCGGGGAAATCTGTCACATTTATGCGCACCAATTCAACTTCGTTTGCAAGTACTCGTCCTGCCAGAGCGGCAGTCAAGCATAGTGTCTGGAGCCAGCCCTTCATTGTGATCACAAAGAACAGCCGTACTAGGCTTCCAAGTACCCAAAAGGAGAATCTATGCGCGACCGCAGACCATCCGACGGCAAGCAAGACTCGCAATTATGTTTCAACTTGGCAGATAATTTTCAGAAGGCTGTCGATCGAGCCTCCCTAAGACAGGTGATTTGATTTCTGATAGTATCGGGGCTTGAGAGTCCTAGAGTTGAAGCTTACTTGTAGTACGTTCAGGCTGTCGTGGCTAGGTATACTGGAACCGGGGAAGCCGCGTTGTGGCGGTCCAACCAATCAAACTGTACCCGCGGCGGCACCGCCATTGGATTTCTGCCTTTTATGCGAAATTTCTCGTCGATAGTCATCGCAACCGGAGACCTTCGACGTCAAGCTAGGCAACAAGCAGCAAAATGCCGGGAAAGCAACTGTCAGACCCCTGCGTTGACTGCGGTGATGCGGAGGCTATATTGACGCTGCGCACCCGCTGTCTATGCAAGTACGTGGGTTCGAAAGATTTGGTGGCGGGGACGAGATGACTGACTGAATTATCTTCATTTAGGACTTGCTATGCAAGATTCGTTAATTTCAAGGTGTTCAAGCGTATGGAGAACTATCGTCTTCGGAGAAACATGCCAAGAACCGGACCATGCAAGCTGCTCCTGCCTCTTTCCTGTGGCATCTCCTCTTCTGTCCTGTTGCACGTACTTAACGCTCAAATCCAACATGAACTCGCCAAGTCGCATCCCTCGCCGGGCTTCGATCTCCATGTGCTTGTTATCGAACCTTCTTCTGTTTATGACGGTAGTCCGTCGTATGATGAGGGCTTTAGATTGCTACAGCAGACTTTTCCTCTGCATTCTTTTACTCGGATCCCGCTTCACAGTATCTTCGAGCTGGATCCCGATCTTCAGGAAGTCATTTCTCAATTTTCCAAGGACGGCTTTGCCGATGATACCAGCTTATCTGACAAAGACCGTCTTGATGCTTTCCGTGCTTCGATTGCGACTTCCACATCCAAGGTCGATGTCGACTACGTTCTGATCACCAGACTGGTTGTTGCATTCGCGAACAAAATGGCGTGCAGAGGAGTGTTATGGGGAGACTCAGATACCAGGCTCGCCGCGAAGACGCTTGCCAATGTCGCCAAGGGACGGGGCTCATCTTTGACATGGCAAGTGTGTGATGGAATGTCACCGTTTGGGGTAGAGTTCAACTTTCCACTTCGGGACTTGTTCAAAGCCGAGGTGCATAACTACGCCAGTTTCTTCCCCGAACTGACCAGACTTATCATTCCTGACGAGCCGCCATCGGAAAATGTGCTCACGAAGAACTTGTCCATTGATGAGCTGATGATGCGCTACGTCCAGACACAGGGCGAGAAGTATCCTGGCGTCATGGCCAATGTGACTAGGACTGCGAGTAAGCTTCAAGCTTCCTTGGTCCCTGCCAATGTTCTTCAATGCAGCTTCTGTGGCGCTTTCATGCTGAACTCCGGCAACAATGGTGCTGCTGACACTACTGCTGCCAACCGAGCACTCGAATTATGCTACGCATGCAACAGGTCGCGGCCTGAAGTGACCTGCTGATGGGTGGCTTTTTGGAACCGCAGATGACACTTTATTGCTTCAGCAAAATTTAAAAGCACTAGCACCAAACTAAGAGGGATATCCTTTTCTCTTCATCGACCACGGGACTTTGAGTTATCCCCGACTCCAGCCTCTAAGTCACCTGCTTGATCGGATGATTTACCAAACCACCCTTTCTGCGACCGATCTCTCTGCGGATACCTGGCAGGCTCAGGCCTAGCAGGTCCCGCTCCTGCCTGGCTCTCGTATCTAGGCGGTTCGTCCAAGGCACTCTGGTCATATCTGTCGAATTCCTCCGCCAGGCTGGTATCAACAACCCCTTCAGGAGTCCGATTTTGCGCCTTAAGCGCCTTCGCCCCCTTTTCCCGCAGGTGCTTTTCTAGGATGACAGCGTTTCTTGTGTTGCACTTGTACACAGCGTCCGCGACGTCCCCTACGAATGGGACCAGGCCGATAACGAAGTCGATCAGCACGTTGATCATCATCATCATCCTGAGGCGTGCTGGTAAACCCCCGTCAATCTCCTCGCAGTTCTTTACGACCATCATGGCGAGTGCGGTATCGCCGACGTCACCGAGACTGAAAAAAATGGAGCATCAGTGTCAACTCCAACATCATGTGCAATTATGGAACTCACAATGGAATCAGCGCAATGACACTGCCCCAGCCAAAGCGAATGCCGCAGAGATTGAATAGACAGTAGTCTAGTCTGTACGCCCTGCGTTTCACCTGGGTGAGGACTCTCAGATCATTCTCAGAGAGTCCAGGAGGAATTGCCTTGCGTCGCTTCCGCGTCTTCTTGCCGAAGGCTCGGTAGAGTCGCGAAGCCGGAACTTCTTCGAAATAGGGATCCTGAACGAGACCCATATCAGTCGCGATGCACAAAAATGCCATCCAATTGTTGATCTTTCATGAGCTTACTTCTTGGCCGAAATGGTTCCTCGCCGATTCCGCTAAAATTCTCTTGCCGACGAAAGAGGCCAGAACACCCGACATGGCTTCTTCTTAGTTCGAGATGTAAAACGAACGTTACCTAGAACGGGAGTCGCTACAGAAGTAGGAGAGTCAACAAGAATCCGATCGATTTGGCCAGAGTTGCTTTCGCGAGGCGTAAAGATTTCAGAGAGCTCTAGATTCTTCCTATCCAGGTAGGCTTCTCTGACAGAGATCAATGATAAAATGTTTTAAATGAATCAAGCTCTCCAAAATTTGCTGTAGCAGGTCACAGATATAGGTCACAGATAGTGTGGTATAAGCAGGTTTTTCGAGGTAAGCTGTCGAATAATAAATAGTATCTGTCAACCAGCACTTGAAGCCTTGTAGGTGCCACAGCGGTTGTCTACTGTCTCCCAGTTCTCCCCTTGGTTCACATAAATACCAGAGACGTCATCCCGTGCCCTACCTTCCCTGATTTGATCCGCTGATCGGCACAGGCCACAGAGCCACAGCTGTGGCGCTTTGACTGAACCATGAAAAGCTACTATTGGATGACCTGTTGGATGACTGCGCCACAAATCATCCGTGCTAGGTAAGGTATTCTTCTTCCGTCTCAGCAGCCATGCTCTCTCAGGCTCTCGTCCTTGTGATTGTCGCCCAACACTCGGTTATCACAGAACGAGTGAACGCACTCAACCTCACCCCACCCTTCACATAGGTAATTTATCGACTCGCTCGCTCTCAAGGTAGACAAACCATTGGTTTGCTCTCGCCACTACTTTCCATTTTCCCTCAGCAACGCTAACGCTTTAGGGTGGGTGCTTTCTGCCAAGCACCCTACTGGAAGCTGCATCATTGGTGTGCTGTTCTCCCCCTCTATTTCCGCCTCTCTCTCCGCGCCGCTGGTTCTCGGAGAGACCTCATCACGCAGACGAAGGCCGTGTTGAAATGCTAGAAGACGTCGGGCAGCATGACAGAAACAAAGATGCAGCTGGAGGACTGTAAGTTTTCGTCTTCTCTCCGGTCGCTCAATGTATCGGCAGCGACTGCAGTGATGGTGCTGGTGATGTCGATGACGATGCTAAATGGTTGGACTCCCTGACATTAGGGCTGGATGACCTGTGTGTCCGCTTCATTATAAATTTACCTCGCGAAGAGCTCGAGTCCGTCGAACGGATCTGTTTTCAAGTGGAGGAGGCGCAATGGTTCTACGAGGATTTCATTCGGCCGTTGGACCCGGCGCTTCCCTCGTTGTCTCTGAAAGCTTTTGCGCTGCGCATCTTTCAGCATTGTCCACTGATGTCCCAATGGTCCCACTACCACCATATTACAGCGTTCTCGGAGTTTCTGGCCTACAAGACCCGTGTGCCTGTGCGTGGTGCCATTTTGTTGAATCAGGATATGGATGAGGTAGTGCTGGTCAAGGGCTGGAAGAAGGGCGCCAATTGGAGCTTTCCCCGCGGCAAAATCAATAAGGATGAAAAGGATCTTGATTGCGCGATCCGGGAGGTCTACGAAGAGACTGGTTACGACGTTCGGGAGGCCGGGCTAGTGAAGGATGAAAAAGATGTCAAGTATATCGAGATCACCATGAGAGAGCAGCATATGAGGTTATACGTGTTCCGTGGCGTGCCACAGGATGCTTACTTTGAACCTCGTACCCGGAAAGAAATCAGCAAGATTGAATGGTATAAGCTGTCGGACTTGCCAACGTTAATGAAGAAGAGCAAGCCAAATGATGAAAATTTGGCGGTTGCAAATGCGAACAAGTTCTACATGGTTGCACCGTTCATGCACCCACTCAAGAAATGGATTGCCCAACAACGGCGGCTTGACGCAAAGACACAAACAGGTGGCGTCAAACAGCTTTCGCAATTGGAAGGGGAAACATCTATGGACGAGGCCATTCAACCCGCTATCCACCATATACCGGCCAAGCATGCTGTTCCTAGTGATTTACCTGAAGTTATTTCAGCAGATGACGCTTCTTCTCATCTCAAGCGACTTCTTAAAATTCACTCGGCCTCCTCTCAGGATCAGTTCCCTCCTACGCAGACTGCTGGTCCGGACGCTTCCAAGTCCAATGCTCTATTGGAATTGTTAAGAAGCGGCTCCTCTAACGAACCTACTCATCAGGCTTCTACAAATGACCAGACATTACCCCCTAATGTCTTCCATGAGGCCATTCCCCCACCGCATCAACCTCACACTCTTTCGGCCCCAAATTTCTTTCCAGGCTTCCCTCAGCAAGTTGCCTACTCTGGGCAACATGACAATCCATTACAGATTCCCGGGCAACCACATCATGGCGCTGCTCTTTCACATTTGCCAGCACCCGCGCACCCGCTTGGTGTAGGAGGTCCCCAGGCCGGTTATCATGGGGTATCACTGTTTTCAAATCGTCACCCGTCCGAGTTGCACGCAACCGCGCAGACTCATAGGCCAGCGCCAGCGTCAGCTCCATACCAGAGAACCGGCGATCCCCAATTCTCGCAGGCGGCGCAAGCTCCCCAAATTCAAGGGGCAGCTATACCACCAGCAAGCAAATTGCCTCCGCCTAAGCTTACCAGCCACTCATTAGCGCTGCTGAACGTTTTCAAAGACAATTCAATGAAAACGCCAAAGACGACGATAGCTAATTTGGCAACACCCTCCGAGAAAACGCCATCTGCTCAGCGCAAACCGTCGCAACATCAAGATCAATTGTTGAATCTCCTCAAGGGAGCCACTCCTCCGGCTCCTGCCGAATTATCGGCCCAGCCTGTTTCTCCGGCTGCCAAACAAATTCTCCAACGGCCTCGCACCGATTCTAGCTCTCCTAAGAGATCTGCGCCCAACACACATGTGACACCAAAGGGAGCTCCGCGCAATCCTACCAGTGCATCCGGGCCTCCGCCCGTCGTTCCTTCTGAGGCGGCTTTCAAGCAACCAGCGAAGAAGAACCAGAACGGCTCAAACAGGAAGAACAAAGATCGACACGCACAGCCTCTTGCGTCTCCCATTACTATATTGACCAGACCGCAGTCGGACAAGAAGGAACGCTCACCCACTCCAGCATCTTCCCAGTCTCCTAAGCCTCCCTCGTCAAGAGCGTCTTCTCAATCTCGTACCAACAGGGTGAAGACCGCAGAGCCACAGAAGCTATTCCAGCCGCAGATACTACGTCGCTCGGATAATCTAAACATAGAGAACCTTCTTCCGACGCGGAGTAAGGATGAGAACGGCGTAGGCCGGCAAGTGACTTCCCCATCTCTCGGTGCTGGGCAAGTGACGAAGCCTGTTCAGCTTCCTCAGCCTGTTCAGCTTCCTCAGCCTCCTCAGCCAACCTTTGACCGCCGACCAAGCCAAACAGCTGCGCAGAAGGAGGCTCTCCTCTCGCTTTTTGGCAAGCGGGCTGTTTCTCCACCTGCTTCACCCTCTGGGAATCTCAACATCCGTACATCACTGACCAAACCATCGGCCGCTTCCTCGGCTGTTAGTCCACTTTCTCCCAGTCGTCCTGCCTCCGAGGTTGGCACTGAAACGCCGAACGCAAGCAAGGTTTCGTCCCCCGTCAATAAAGCTTTCCTGCTTGGATTCTTGGAAGGTGTAGCGAAGGGAAACAAATAAGGTCCAGGCTCGCGCTGATTTTCAACAATGGACCAACATGTAACTATGTCCTTCAGAAGGTGCATTCTGAACTAGTATTAATTGTATAACGCTGAACAACCCTCTTATCCTTGATAACCAAATTTTATACATCGGCTTCTTCCTTGTGTACCTCTGGTAAACCAATTGGATAAAATGCATTTATCTTATACTAATTCTGCCACATTTTACCGCCCGGTCGTCGATGTCATACCGAGAACTCTTGATTTGTAAACGATCGTTTGTGGGGTTGTCATGAACGGCCTAACACAGTCATGATGCGTTCCATTGCATCTTCGAAAAGAGGTTGCACTCGCTGTCTGAGCCGTTCAAGGCTCTTCTCAACCACTGTACAGCACCGCACTCAGCCATCGAGCGATGCTGTCCCTTCTTCCCCGCCGCGGTCCGGATATGCTCAACTTACGAACCGGGGTTTGATATCTATCACAGGCGTTGATAGTACTACATTCCTTCAAGGTCTAATTACTCAGAATATGCTAGTTGCGAACGACCCGAGCCGCACAACTCGTCGAACGGGGACCTACACGGCTTTCCTGAACTCCCAAGGTCGGGTGTTGAACGATGCATTCATCTATCCGATGCCCAGAGGAGACAGCGAGACCGCTACGACTGATGACCCGGCATGGCTGGTCGAAGTGGACAAAAACGAGGTATCCACCCTCCTGAAGCATCTTAAGAAGCATAAGCTTCGATCAAAGTTGAAGCTCCGTGCGCTGGAAGACGGTGAACGCACCGTCTGGTCGTCATGGAAAGACCACGCCGAGCCCCGTTGGGCGGCGTATAACCTGGAATCGGAATCGTCCTCGCCATTCTCACCCTCGTTACCCGTTGCGGGATGCATCGATACCCGGGCTCCGGGTTTCGGATCTCGGCTTGTCACGCCTGGCGAGGAGGACCTGCGCGTCCATCTACCGGATGAGACTCAGGTTGCTGGCTCCGAGGTCGACTTGGGCACGTACACGGTTCGGCGGATGTTGCACGGTATAGCGGAGGGCCAGGCCGAGATAATCCGCGAGTCTGCGCTTCCCCTCGAATGCAATATGGACATGATGCGGGGGGTTGACTTCCGCAAGGGCTGCTACGTTGGCCAGGAGCTTACGATCCGTACGCATCATACGGGGGTTGTGCGGAAACGGATTGTGCCTGTGCAGTTGTATGCGAACTCCGCCCTTCCATCCGGTGATACCCCTGTGTATGATCCCTCTGCAGCGGTGGCCTTGCCACCTAGCGGATCTAATATCTCCAAAGTTGATGGTAGAAAGGGCCGAAGCGCGGGGAAATTCCTCGGTGGAATTGGAAATATCGGTTTAGCTCTTTGTCGATTGGAGATAATGACCGATACCGTACTCACAAGCGAAGGTTCACAGTACAGCCCCGATCAAGAATTCAAGATTTCATGGTCTGCCCCAGAAGAAGCATCATCGAATGCTACTGAGCCGGGAGAAGTGAAGGTTAAAGCTCTTGTGCCGCCCTGGCTGAGGGAGTATATCTCCTCTGGAGCGAGGGACCTTGCTCGCAAGGTGGACAATCAGGAAGGCCACCGGGCAAAGGAGCTCTTATATCAATTAGAGGAGGAAGAAGAGCAACGGCGGAATGAGTGACGTGGATCACGGCACATCGTGTATCATATATTGTACATATAATGACCATATATTCTCTATAGACGAGAAATTTCTCTCAATAAAGAAAAAAAGGAATGTAGTAGAAAACAAAGCTGAAAGGGGTATCTCTGAAATTAGCAGTCTACCGAACGAAAAGGCGCTCAACACCAGAAGAAGAGAAAAATGTAATTAGCCCTTGGCCTCAGCGGCAGCAGCCTCAGCAGCATCTGCTGCCTCATCCTCTTTCATAAGCTGTGCCTCGAGGGCCTTTCGTTCCTTTTCGCGCTGTGCATTCTTCAATCGCATTAATGTTATCTCCTGAAAACTCGGAGTGCTTCGTCCATTGGCCGATGCATCGGATGGTGTTGGCTTTGATGAGCCCGCGGCCGAGGAGAACGAGGCAAACGAGGGCGCTTTCCCGGGGGTCTTGGCTGGACCACCAGGCGGCGCTGCTGACTTGAGCTTGGAGAAGTCGAAAGACGGTTTGGAGGGGCCAACAGAAGGAGCTGTTTTTTGTGTTGACGAAGCTTCATCAGGCGTGGAGATGGGAGAAGCGGCCCGGTTTTCCGTGCCCACTATGTCTGGCTGGTTGCCAGATGCCCAGGAAACGGATTCAATGAGCGTCCAGTCGTTGTCCGGCTGGCCAGCGCTCTGGCGTCGTTTTTTCTCGCTGTCCAGCACGGCGGCATGGGCGCTGACAACGGAGGCGAATACCACAACGCCTGTCGCGACAGTCTTCTTCTCTCGCTTGTCTCCGACACGCTGGCGCTTGTCCTTGAGCATGAACGTGTTCTCAACTTTACCGAAAGGCTTGAACAAAGACACCAAGCGATCTTGGTCTAGATCCAAACCTCGGCCTTCCCGAACCCAGCGCACTTTGACGGCTCGCTCGAGTTCCGGAACATTCGTGCCACCTTCGTGTGAACGGTCGACTCGTTGACTGCTCCGATCCGCAGCTCTCCGCGCCTCTTCCTGTTCCTGCTGCAGCCTTCTCTCCTCGGCCTCAGCTTCTCGCTTCAGTCGCTCCTCAGCCTCCTTGCGTCGCCGCCGCCCATCCTCCGCAATCCGGTCAATCTCGCGCTGAAGCGTTTCCTCGGCATCGTCGTCCGCTCCAGCCATGCCGGCAGACATCCAAGTCCTTTTGACGCCTCGTTGTGCACCTCCCATCGCAGCCGCACCGGCACGCTCTCGAGCTTCCAAGTCCTCTTTCATCTTCCTTTTCGCCGCATCCATCATCTCCACCTCACGCCTTTTTCTTTCGCGCGCTTCCCGCGCATTGTCGTAGAGTTGCCGTACGGAGGGATCAGAAAGTACATCGTAGGCTATCTGTAGCAGGTGGAATTTGTCGATGTCTGTTTGAGTCGGGTTTGCGATCTTGTCAGGGTGGTATTTGAGGGCTGTCCGCCTGTATGCACGGCGGATTTCCGACTCCGAGGCCGCAGGTGGAATGTCAAGGAGAGCATAGAAATCTTGGTTAGAGGCAGCGTGTGCCTTAAGATCGTCATCCGAGGGCATCTTGAGTGTAGTTCGCGCGAGGACAGCTCGTTGTTATCTCAATGTGGAAAGAAACTGAGTTAGCAGCAGACAAATTTCGCGATGCGCAAAACCATGAATTATAGAAGCGCTGATAGACTTTGAGGATTCAAACGATCATCATAAAAAGAAAGAATGAGGTTAATGATGGCATGGTTGAGATGAAGGTGGAGAAAGATCGGAGCTCTTATCGGGTTTTTTTGTGTTGGCGGTGGCGGAACACTTCTATCGATATCAGGCAAATATGGGCTTCCTGTTCCTCCCGTTAAATATCCGACAACCCTTGCTGGACACATTTGTTCGACTCGCGGGATTTTCTATTGTGCCAGGTATAGTGAATGGAGCTGATGCAGATTGAAATAACTTCCTGACTCTGTTCTAAATGCCTTAAAATGACCGAGCATCCGCTTTCTGGCCGTAAATACTGAAAGACGTAGTCCCAAGGGAGGCTTTTCTGCTATACTATCTGTCCTCTTGAATCCTTTTTCGTGACTATGTTATAGTATGCTGGCTGGTATTGGCTCACTGGATCACCAGGAAGAAAGGTCGAGCACCTCATGGGACAAAATGATCGCTCAAGCTATATGCGATGGCGGTTATTAGTTCCTTAAATGATCACAACCGTCCATCCTCAAAGCTCAAGAACGTCAAGGTCCTACTTGTAAGAGCAAAGTGCTTTTGTCATGTATAGACCGACCGAAGAAAGTGGTGGTTGTAGACTGTGCCTCAGGCTCTGAAAACTTCTCCTTCAATGGATTGCTTCGTCCACAACTTTCATTCCATCATTGTCAATATTCCTTGTCAGGCGACAGATACTCTCGATCATGGAGGCAACGCCCATGGCGGGCAGCTCCATGCCATCCCAGGCTCAGCTAGCCCTTGCAATGGCTGTCGTCAAACAGAAACCGGCAGGCATGGATATCCAAGGTTACCAAGCCTGGAGTCCCCTTTCTGTACAGGTTAAGCTAACCAAATTTTAAGACTATGTGCTGCAGATCCGAAAGAACATCAAAACTGCAGAAAGTTGCGCTAGGGAGTATTTGGGAGATCGATTTTTCGACAGCGTTTCCTTCTGGCAGCACGCCTACAAGAGATCTGAAGCTGAGCAGAGTCGATTGATGGATAAAATTTACGAACTGGAGCAGCGTAACGAGGCCCTTCTTGCGAAACTACAATTACAAAACCCTTTATCTCAAGAGAATACGCAAGTATCGGCAAAGAGGAAGGCAAACGGGAATCCGAATGCAAGAAAAAGAGCGAAGACACAGGTGAACTTGCAGAGTCAGGCTTTTGGTACGGCTCTTGAAACCAGCAAACTCGTCGAGCAGCCTGAATACATGGAAGAATGTCAGTCAAGAGCGTCGACGTGTCGTCTACTCTGACTAACTGAATTATCTCAACAGCTACTGCATCGATCATGCGACACTTCTACGCTCTTCAGAGAGCCATTCAACGCAGGCCGAGTCGCTCAACTATTGTACAATCTTCCGCGGATCTATGCGAGGTAGCTGTGCATGAAGTGCTCACTGCAGTCCGTTGGAGTGGACATACCACTCGACCTAGCAAGAAGCCGGTCCTCCAGGCAAAGCGACCTCACTTGGAACAGGTTCTACGCAGCGTCAAATGCGCTTTTCAGCTTATGTTACAGGCACTAGAAAAGCTCGCGGAGACTCAAGATGACCTTCAAGGCAAAGGTCAGCTTGCGTATCATCTCATTAGATTGTATCAAGCTGTAGCTACGGCTCTGGAGCAATACTGCATCAGCACGTCCAGACAGATTTCCGCAAGCACCGGTTCCTCCAAAACCCCAAAGAACAAGCAGGCTAGAAAGTCGAAAAGCGCAAAGCCTTGTCAGAGACTCGAAATCCCTACGACCACTCCTGTCGACGAAGTAGCCAGCCAGATCAGTCGGCTACTGGGCTCTATTGCAATCTCTTTGAATCTTTCATATGCAGTTCATCGGACTGTTTTCGAGGGGCTTTTGTACGTTCTTCTTACGCGCGTGGGAACTTTGCTGTGCATATTTGTCTTCCAAGATTTACAAATTCGACCTGATCTTCATGTGGCTCAGACCAAGTTACCTCTTCCCCAAGGCTTGCATGGTGTCAAGGTGGATGACCAGTCCTTGCGTGCTATGCAGATGGAAGCAAAGCATCTTATTTGGCTTCTGGAGAGAAGCCTAGCCTTATTAGATGCTTGTACATCCTCGTGTTCGACATCGGAACCTCACGACGTCCCTGAAACAATGGCATGGGTAGCCAAGCTGAAGCAGCAGCTACAAGGAACTCTTCTTCAGGCTTTGTTCGGATCAGACCGTTCTGTGTTTCCACATACGCTACAGCAGCCTGAAACACTTGATACACTTGAGCTTGAAAGGTTGCAGAACTGTACTCAAATTCCCGAGCAGTCCGTTCCCGACTGGTTTACGCAAGAGATATGGAGGCTACTGGGATGGGACTTGCTAGCGACTCACAACACCTCTTAAACATGGGAAAATCAGTATCCCCGTCTGCTGAATATTCCTAAAAAAGTCGCAAAGTCCGTTCTGCCACACCTTTGAGACCTCTATACCGTTGTTACCGCTTTTAGTATATATCATAGCTTTGTTATCTGCTCTTATAGAGATGAAGTCGAGGCACGAGACCTACGAGGTCACGCAGGATGCAATGGTATTTGATACCTATGTGAGTTATGAACTTCACTCATTTGAGATTCAGAATACGTGCTGCGTTCCCTCCCAAGATTGCCCCAACTGCTTCTTTCTCTGTATCAAAAGCAGCGTGGATTGCTTTGTAGTTGGTCGTCACACTAGGCCATTCGGCGTCTTCACTAGTGTCAAGTGGAGGGAAAAAGGGATGGTCAGTGCCTGTCCAGATGTCAGTATAACCACAGAAAGGAATTCAGCGAATTGTATGATCATACCAAACATGAGACGATCCGCTCCCCCGGCTGCAGACACGGCTGCTTTCAGGCCAGCAGTACCATATACCACCGCATCGAGGTAGATGTTTGTCTGCAACACATCCCAAACACTTCTCTGAGGACCCGGTACATTACCGCCATTGGCGACAAACTTGCGCTCGTGATGAATACAGCTCTCAATCCGTCCAGCAAGGAATGGAAGCGTCCCGCCAGAATGCGCCAGCAGGATCTTCAACCCGGGAAACCGATCGAAAACACCGGCAAGAAGCATCCGTGCTACGGCAATCGTAGTCTCGAGCGGGAACCCTAAAGCAAGTGGCAAAACATGGCCGTAGCGGTTCATCACTTCTGTCCCGCCGAAAGCTTCATCGGGTAGACCGTAATGAGGGTGGAGGAACAGCAGGGTGTCTGTCTCTTGTAAAGCGCCCCATACAGGGTCCAGCGCTGGATCGTCGAGGCCCTTGCCTAACCCAGAGGTACCCATAATTACACCTCGCAGATGTGGCAGCGTCTTGAGTCTCTTGATCTCGTTTACTACAATGTCTGCTGTAGGCGCACTGAGTGGCAGGGTGCCAAATGCGAACAACTTCTCTTTTTCGTGGAGAGCATATTTGTTGTCGGGGTCTACTGCTTGGTTGACACGCGCGCAGGTCTGCTCCAGATCATCATTGATGCGTTCTGCCCACGTCTGGGCTTCCTCAGGCTTGAGGAAGTCCAGCCACGGGTTAGCTAGGGAAATGACACTGCAGTTGATACCGTGGCGTCGCATGAACGCCAGCTTGACATTGATATCCCAGTATGACGAGTCGACTGGACGGCCGCGCTCATCGAGAGGGATTGATGGATCATCGTCTGAAGAAAGGATGACAAGACGTGGTGTCGCATTTACTGGGTCGTGCACGTAGGGGACTACCTTGCGAGAGCGGAGCATGTCCATATACGACGGGGGATAGACATGAGTGTGAATGTCGACAATGAGAGGGGAGGACATCTTCTCTCTTTGCTTTCTGGCGATCAATCAGCCTGTCGTAGGAAGGTTGTAGTAACGATGGTTCGCAAAGCTGAGCACGCTGAAGAAACAGTTAGCAATCGACCTTTTGACTTTTATGAATGATCATACATTTCTCGAAATGCAGCTGATTCGCGAACTTAAGATGAAGATGTGGGAGAACGAGTGAGACAAGATTCAATCTTGACTTGTCTCTTATCTTCGATGCGGGGTATTCGCAACGATGTTACAACAGTAATGCATCTGCAGGGGATGCGAGTGATGTGCAGCGTATGTATGGATTGCTGCCGAGTCCCTCATGTTTCAAGTATCAAGAGCTCAAGAATTGTACTCCATATCAACGGCTTATCTGCCTTCGATCGTCTCATTGATAGCCGCATGAGTGAGTTCTCATCAGGATCTGCTCTTCTCTGAATGGTCAAAGAGCCTAACTAGCCTCGATATCCTCATATCTCGACAACTGATCCCTTATCGCTCAGATACGGACAATAACATCATGCAGGTCGAGTTTATCTTCCCCGCTCCAGCGTATCATCGTTGATCGGGGATGAGAAAGGATATTTAAGGTAAGGAGGGGAGACAATCTCCTGCGGAACCATGGCTGCTATCCCATCCGACTCTGTTGATCTGCTTATTTTCCTTTTCCTCACCTTGGTTCATGACCAAGTCGTGATTTCACGGAGGTCCTCTGCGATTGCGCTCGACGACTTTCTACACCAGCTCCCAAGGAGACGTCTATAGCTCTTCTAATACATTAGGAGAATTATACGTTAATCTGACGATCTAATTTCACTCTTCAACTCCGACAGCCATAGATCCCGATCGTTACACAATGGACGACAAGCTGGCGCAGCATGCGTGTCATCCCATCACCACAGCGATTGAAAAGGACGATCTTGTCATTCCTGTGAGTATCCTGATCATCTGAAATTATCAACCTGCCGTTTTGCTTCTTGTATTCATATCTCCCTTCCTACTTACACCGTCAATTTACAGGTCATTGATTTTGGGCCCTTTCTGAGAGGGACACCATCCGACAAACATGCTGTCGCTGTTTCCGTCACAAATGCATTCAAGACATCGGGTTTTCTCTATCTAAAAGACCATGGGATCCCATTTTCCACAGTATCCCAAGTATTTGAGGCTTCAGCCCGCTTCTTCGCTCGGCCCCAGGATCAGAAAGACAGTTTGTGCTGGACTTCCCCGCAGTCGAACCGTGGTTACATCAAGACGGGACAAGAGAAGCTGAGCTTACCTGAAGATACTGTCGACAAGGATACCGCTAGGCTGGCGACACCAGATCTCAAGGAGACAATGGAGATTGGTCGAGATGATGTTGACGGTCTTCCTAATCGGTGGCCAGACCATTTCGATGACGAAGGGAAGGATTTCAAGAAAGTGATGCAGTCATTCTTCGGAATGTGCAAATCCCTCCATACGGAGGTCATGCGGGCTATCGCTCTTGGAATGAACTTACCGGAGCATTACTTTGATGAATTCGTAGATGCGGGAGATAATAATCTCCGTCTGCTGCATTACCCTTCTGTGCCCAAAGATGTCTTCAAGAAGAACCCAGGACAGGTTCGTGCTGCAGAGCACAGTGATTATGGTTCTATCACACTTCTGTTCCAAGATCGTCGTGGAGGGCTGCAGGTTCGGAGTCCCAAGGGCACCTTTGTCGATGCTACGCCTATCGCAGACACAGTCGTCGTCAATGCTGGAGACCTGTTAGCTCGGTGGTCCAACGACATCATCAAGAGCACTCGTCATCGGGTTGTCGAGCCTCCGAGTATCGCAGGCGACGACGCAGATGACGGCTCAGATACGTACCCGGCGCGATATAGTATCGCGTACTTCTGCAATCCCAATATGAACAAGTTTATTGATGCCCTACCGGGGACATTCGGGGAAGAAATTAGCCAGAAAAAGAAATACCCAGGAATTACCGCCGGAGACTATCTTGTGCAACGATTGACAGCAACGATCTAGTCTGAGTGTTATTCTTGATGTATATCTCCAAATGAGTGATGTTTACGTTCAGCGTTCTTATGTATCTCGAGCAAGACTGACCACTAATACTATAAGTGAGTTTCTTTCTATGTGACGATTGACATGGACTAATATAAGCTACTCACTTATATCGCAATGACTGATCCTCTCGCCTTTTTGGTACCTGATACCTTGCCTGGATGTGTAAAGTACTCTGCGCTTTCCAACGCCTCTAATACGATGCCGGATGAACTGCGGTTCGTCCTCCATCAGTGACGATGATGCTACCATTGATGTAGCCACCGGAAGCACTCGCCAGCCAAAGAATCAGACCCGCGATGTCTTCCTCACTACCACCTCTCGTGAGGGGGATCCTTTCGCGCGGGAACGACCCGTCAGAAATGCCCCTATCTCCGCCCTTGAATGCTTCCGCAGACATCTCCGAATGATATAGGCCTGGCGCAATGCCATTGACTCGGATGTCGTACGAGCTGAGCGTAGTCGAAAGCATCTTGACAAGATGATTCGTTGCAGATTTGGAAAGACTGTACGCAAAACTGAAGGGCCCCTGCCGAATGAAACCTGCAATCGAACTGGTGATGAGAACCTGCGCAGTCGGTGGGGAGAGCTTATCCTTCTCAGGTGCTGGTCTCCTCTTATTCGTTGCCTCAAGCAGAGGCAGGAAAGCAAGAACAGTATAATATGACCCTGTGACGTTGATCTCGAAGACCTTGGAAAAATCCTCCATGGGTACAGCCCATAGCTGATCGCGGACTTCTGAGAGACTTGGTTTTGTCCCGTCCTCTTTTGCAGCTGGCGGGCGAGCAGAAGGACCCATCACACCGCTGTTTGCGATCAAGAGGTCGACGTGATCTGCCTGAGAGGCGATGGAGTCGTAGGCCGCCTGTAGTGATTCCTTAGATGAGACGTCGCCCTTGATGGCTATGATCGTTTTGTTGATTGCAAGGGACGCGGTCTCTTGTAGCTTGTCTTCGCGTCGGCCAATGATGAAGACCTTCGAGGCACCGTTCGCATCTAGGGCAAGGGCCATTGTACGTCCCAATCCTGTTGAGGGATGTGTCAGTGCTTATAGGATCTTGTTCAAAATCTACGAACACAATCGAGTTGCAGTGGCGGAGAACAAACTACAACGCATTTCACATAAAGTGGTAGATGTCTTCAAGGAGACTCACCACTTCCAGCCCCGGTCACAACCGCAACACATCCCTGGATGGAGAACAATTTCGAAGCTTGCAGGTGCGACATGATGATGAACCACTGAGCGCGCTGCCAATAGCGGTATGCAATATCCGGTAGTGTTAAATTTCTACAGAAAATGATGGAGTTGATCAATTCATCTAAAAGCAAGTGTTGTAGGACAATTCATATTGAGAAGACAGTCGATTTGTTCCTTTTAGAGGATTTGGCGTCATACAAGACCCCCGCATTCTCGCAAACATGGCCGATGTGGGGAAACCCACGCTCTGGCAATGCTCCTTGATGACTTTCTCCTTCGCTAAACCTAGATTTATGGAAATTCGTCAAGTTCAGAAAACAGTGTCCAAGAGTGTCCTTGGAGCGACGAGTGGGATAAGTAAGTACAATCTGCTGTGTGTGAGTGTGATGATCGCACCCCAGGTTGACAAGGCCAGAGATATGCATGATCGACCCCAAGAGCCCATAAATCCTAGCAACGCGGATCATGATGTGACAGATATCTATCTACAGTCCATGCTTCAAGTCTTTCGGAGAGGTTCAGATTGGAAAGCAGGAAAAGCCAGGCTGCTTATCTGAACCCCTTCTCATGTAAAAACCATCTCTTTCTGATAATCAATCAACCTTCGCATAGAACGAACACCGACTATGACAAAGGTGGCAGCAGAATGACCACTTCAATGCTACTGAGTACCTATTTCTGAATCACTTACCCGAGAATTCGGCGGCTCAATAAGATCCTGGTGACGATTTACTCCTCGGATGGCACTTCCTTTACGTCCACTTTGGTGAGCTTGATCCCACGTCATAGTAACCGGGAGATCCGCTACATCCTCTTTACTGCTGGCATGCAACATACGAGATCAGTTGATAGGATCGGAATATCGGAAGAGTAACCTGTTTATACAAAGCAGATCTTTTGCGATATATGTCATGCCTCGTGAAGACCTGATGTTGCAGACGAATCCCAGTATCCCGTGCTGCTCGTGGTTGAGGACCACCGATTGCTCAACGCTTGGCGAATCAACGTATTCTGTCTTTAAGTTCCGAATGTATAACGAAAGTTGGGTTGAGAGCTGTCCTCCTTGGGGTTGACGTCGCCTCCCTCACCGGAGGAATTTCAGAGCCGGAGCTATACAGCTGCTCCAGCCTTCCACCATGAATTATTCGTTCATGACTGTAGCATGACGACAAACCATTGATATTGACTACCTAACCACGAATCGATGTCACTAGGGTACCTGGTGTGCGAAATTTTCAGGGACAGAAACTCCGATGCTGATTTGGGAATTCGGGAGACAAATCAAGCTATGACGCTGGAACGATGCTATGGATGGCAACCTAGATCTGGAAACCTCAGCAACATGAGTGACAGCGGCATGTCTTGATCACGAATTAGTTGCGTCAATTGCGAACCCCCTGGCTCTGTCCATAGTTTTAAAGGCAGGTTGGCCCTCACATGTCGCTTCGCAACGCTGCACTCTGAGCGCTGGAAAGGTTCCCTAGCACATCACTGGGTAGCATCTCAATTGCCTTCTGCTGGATGTCAGGAGGATATCGCCCTTTTACCCATCACTATGAATTGGAGACACTTTCTGCTGATCAACGTGCTGGGTGGGCTACCTCCCACCCTCGCTGTCCCTAATGTGAGGAGAGCCGACGCCCCTACTTCCGTGCCACCTACTGTGAGCCACCCGACTTCATTACCGCACTCTTCCTTTACCGCGACTCCCACGACCAGTGGAGCCGAGAGTGCCAGCTCTGTTGGCTCAGGGATT